GAGAGTCCCTATCTATACCTTGTGGCTAATAGCCACTGATGGACTTCTGCTCCAGATGTTTATCCAATTCCTTTGTTGTGTTCTAATGGCGGTCGCCCTTACTCGTGCCCATGCGAACTAACCTAGCTTCGCATCCGGAGACAATAGAAGGAGAGGATCCTAGAACCAGCCTATCAACTCGTCCGGATCCTCAAGGGAACCTGTGGATGCAGTAACACTGTAAATAATCCTATCACGGGTGTGGGTGTGTGTTGGGGTGCGGTTTGTACTTGTATTTAAAGCGGGCCACTGGCCGGCTACTGTATCTCCAGTTTTCTCTGTTCCTAAGTAAAATATGAACTGAAATCACTATGCTATGCCTCAGTCTCACTACTTTATATCCCTCTTGAAGCCATCCATGCTTTGTAGCCGCCGCCACCTCCTGTGACAGTGAATTCCATGTGTTAATAATCACTCTTTGGGTGAAGAAGGACTTCCTTTTATCCATTCCAACCCGACTGCTCGGCAATTTCATGGAGTGCCCACGAGTTCTTGTCTTGTGAGAAAGGGAGAAAAGTGCCTCTTTCTCGACCTGCTCTATCCCAGGCATCGTCTTGTAAACCTCGATCATGTCACCCCTCAGCCGTCGTTTCTCCAAGCTAAAGAGCCCCAAGCGCATTAACCTTTCTTCATAGGGAAAGCGTTCCAACCCTTTTATCATCCTAGTTGCCCTTTTCTGCACTTTTCCCAATGTTCTAATATCCTTTCTGAGGTGTGGTGACCAGAATAGTCTTCAGGGGTCAACCCAGAATAACAAATCTGGGCACCTGGGTCTTAAAATCCAGTTTGATTTAGTGAAACGAACAGTAGGATCCTGGGCAAAGCTACTCCATTCTAAACCCATCAATTTTGGTGCGTTTAGGTGGGAGTAACTCTGCATAGGATGGCACTGCTCGTAACCTTTAGATGTGTTGGATTTTCTTAGGTTTTGCTATGTCAAGCTGGTTTATCTTGTTTATAACCCCCCCCCCCCCCCAAATTAGGGTTGCCACTTCCAGGTTGGGAAATTTTTGGAGATTTGGGGGGTGGGGCCTGGGGAGGGTGAGGTTTGGGGAGGGGAAAGACCTCAGCAGGGTCTAATGCCACAGAGCCCACCAGCGTTCCCTCTAAGCTGAGTTAGTGTGAGCTAAGTCACAGTTTCTTAGCCTCTGGCTCACACATTTTTGTCTCAGCTCAGGACGGATGGCTCCAGAGCAAACTAATTTAGGCAATAGCCACATTGCTTGCTCACAGCTTTAATGCCAAAGTAGGATTTTTGCTCACAACTCCACAGCTTAGAGGGTGCATTGGAGTCCACCTTCCGAAACAGCCAGTTTCTCCAGAGGAACTGACCTCTGTCGCGTGGAAATCAGTTGGAATCCCAGGAGAACTCCAGATACCACCTGCAGGTTGGCAGCCCTACCCGAGAGAGAGTCCGTCGGACCCAGGCAGTGACCCCCCTCAAGACATTTTTCGGGTCTCTTCTAGACATCCGGGTATCGGGTTGAAATCTCAAGTTCGGGGCCTCATTTTCAGGGTCACCAGTCGAGTTCTTGGGGCTGTCAGCCCGCATACCCTGGGCAGGGGTCCCCCCCATGCGGTGCCCGCTAACTGTATTTACAAAGTAGGTGGGGCTTCTGCCCAGCAGGGCTTCTGATTGGCCGTTGATCTGATCGGCCATGCAGATTTCTTAAAACTTGCTCCGGCAGCCGCTGCCACCGCAGCACGAGGCTCTTCACGGTATGACTGAAGGCAAGCGGCCCAGATGCAAGAAAATGTTTTCAAACCCTCTGTTGGTTTAGAAAAAGACGTCCCGTTAAGCGCCTTCTGCCTGAAATGTTGAAGAGCTGAGTTACGCGTGACCTCATTCCCTCAGATTTTGTGATGTGGCGGCCATTTTGTGGTTGCACTCCCCTGCTCTGTGGCTTCATGCAAGACTTCTGTGCATGCCTGCTTGTGGTGACCACGGCACGTACGATTTGGAAATGGGAGTCAGTGATCTCGGCAAAAACAGCTCAGCTACCTTTTTCATGCAGCACATGGTTTCCATTTTTGTTCACAATTGTGGCAAAATACACTTACAGGTACCTTTTCTGGCACCCACCGAGTGTTTTTAGAACGTGGGCGGGGCCAGGTAGGGCTCTTTTGCCCAGCAAAGCTTCTGATTGAGTACTGGAAATTTGATCGGTTATGCAGATTTTTTAAAAAACGTTGCTTTCAGCACAAGGCTCTGCGCTGTATTACTGAAGTTAAACCGTGGCAATCGTTTTGTGGCTGGCTCCGCCTCCTGCGGCAGCCATTTTGTGGCAGCCATTTTGTGGCAGCCGTTTTGTCGCGGCACCCACCATGCCGTGTCAAAATTCCAAATGGGCCCACAGGATCAGAAAGGTGGGGGACCCCTGATCCAGCAGCATGTGAAAGTACCGCCGTTCAACACTGCCATCTGATGTAACATCACCATGTCCTGCCTGATGAGTCTCTGAGTTCGAGATGATGCTGTCCTGGCAACCGTACTCCCCCCAAAAAACCATTCTCTGTGCCCCCACAGCAAAACGTTTCGAATGAGACACTACGAATTGGTTGTTAAAGAAATTAAGCTAGCTTTGTAAGGAACATTCCCTGAATTTATCCTTATGATGGGTCAGGGGTGGCTAAACTTGCTTGATGTAGCAACCGCACAGAATAAACTCAGGAGCTAGCCGGAACTCCGTTCCTGTGCGTTCCTGCCCAGAAATAGCCCTGGGCCCACAGGATCAGAAAGGTGGGGGACCCCTGATCCAGCAGCATGTGAAAGTACCGCCGTTCAACACTGCCGTCTGATGTAACATCACCATGTCCTGCCTGATGGGTCTCTGAATTCAAGGTGATGGTGTCCTGGCAACCGTATTCCCCCAAAAACCATTCTCTATGCCCCCACAGCAAAACGTTTTGAATGAAACACTACGAATTGGTTGTTAAAGAAATTAAGCTAGCTTTGTAAGGAACAGTCCCTGAATTTATCCTTATGATGGGTCAGGGGTGGCCAGACTTGCTTGACGTAGCAGCCACACAGAATAAACGTCAGATGTTTGAGAGCCACGAGACATGAACAAATATTACACATGTATTTTCATTGAAAAATATGCACATTTGCTTTTTGTGAAAGAGCATCCGGCTCCTGAGCTACAGTTTGGCCACCCCTGGGCTAGGTTCTGCCTCTCCCTCAGAGCGCCCAATGAAGGAAAGTTGGTGAGAGGGACATTTGGAAACAGACATTCATTCAGTTGGGAGAGAGACTGGCCGAGTGCGCCTGTGGGAGACGAGCAGTTTAAGGCTGACTGGAAAACGGTTCCCCTTGAATCCCAAATGCCTGAATAGGGAAACATTTTTAAAAGCCTATATGTAGATCTATATTAGGATATGAATAAATGGTGGCAGTGTGTGAATGAAGCAGTGTTTGGGTCCCCAGCCCCAACAGCTCTGCATAAGGTCGGAGTGAGGACGGATTAGGACATAAGAACATGCAATCCATTTAGTCCAGCAACCTGTCTCACACAGGGGCTAAACAGTTCCTCTGGAGGACCAACAACAGGGCAGAGAGGCCAAGGCCTTTATAAGAACACCAGAAGAGCCCTGCTGGATCAGACCAGTGAGGGTCCATCTAGTCCAGCATCCTGTCTCTCACAGTGGCCAACCAATTCCCTTCTGGAGGGCCAACAACAGGGCAGAGAGGCTGAGGTCTTCATAAGAACACCAGAAGAGCCCTGCTGGATCAGACCAGTGAGGGTCCATCTAGTCCAGCATCCTGTCGCTCACAGTGGCCAACCAGTTCCTCTGGAGGGCCAACAACAGGGCAGAGAGGCCGAGGCCTTCCTAAGAATATAAGAAGAGCCCCGCTGGATCAGACCAGTGGTCCATCTAGTCCAGCATCCTGTCTCCCACAGTGGCCAACCAGTTCCTCTGGAGGGCCAGCAAGAGGGTGTAGAGGCCGAGGCCTTCCTAAGAATATAAGAAGAGCCCCGCTGGATCAGACCAGTGGTCCATCTAGTCCAGCATCCTGTCTCCCACAGTGGCCAATCAGTTCCTTTGGAGGGCCAACAACAGGGCAGAGAGGCCGAGGCCTTCCTAAGAATATAAGAAGAGCCCTGCTGGATCAGACCAGTGGTCCACCCAGTCCAGCAACCTGTCCCTCACAGTGGCCAATCAGTTCCTTTGGAGGACCAACAACAGGGCAGAGAGGCCGAGGCCTTCCAAAGAACATAAGAAGAGCCCTGCTGGATGGGACCAGTGGCCCATCTAGTCCAGCATTCTGTCTCTCACAGGGGCCAATCAGTTCCTTTGGAGGGCCAACAACAGGGCAGAGAGGCTGAGGCCTTCCCCTGACCATTGCTTCCTGGGCTCTGGGTTTCAGAGATTTAGTGCCTCTGAATGTGGAGGTTCCCCTCAGTCACCATGGCTAGTAGCCATTGATAGACTTATCCTCCATGAATCTATCTAGTCCCCTTTGAAAGATAAAGGGGAGTGGGCTAATCTGTCTGGCCGCATTTCTGTGAGTGAGAGAGAGGACCTGGTATATGAAATTGTCATGGCGCTCTGTGTGATTTAAAAGAGGCATCATGGTTGGGAAACATTGTCTGCCTGGACCTACCTGTGACTCTGAACCTGTAGGACAGAGATTGTGGAGGGCGGCTAGGGACTCTGAGTGAGCGACAAAGAGCATCACAATACCCGAGAGATTATTTTATTGGGGGCGTCCTTTGTAAATGGAAGCAACGTTTCCAGTCATCTGACTGTGGTCAGGAAACTGGGGATACGCAATGAGCTTGCGTGTTTCGACCTCTGTCTGCCAAACTTCGCTCCTCTCTGTGATGGTTCTGATACAGATGTGGTAGTGATGAAGGAGAGGCACGCTTGAACAATGGAAAATAATTGCCTTTTTATGAGAGCAGTGTAATTCTGGGATACATGGCTACCCACCTGAATTAACCTTTTTTTATGTTTAGATCTGTTGGAGAAGTCCCGTGTTGTGAAGCAACCAAGAGGTGAAAGGAACTTTCACATTTTCTATCAGATACTGTCTGGAGGATCTGAAGAGATGCTACGTAAGTGTACGGTGCTGCCTTTAAAAAATCACATTAAGTAGAGTCATCTATAATGGTATAAGATTGTCTCCAGTTTATTTCAGCGTTTTATATAAATCTGTTCACTTTGCATGCTGTAAATGAGCGTCCCGCGTATCGTCAAGCAAAAACCTCAAAGGGAACTTTTGGGGTTAACTTCTTTTCCTTTTGTCAGAAAAACTGAAGCTGGAGCGAGATTTCAGTCGATACAACTACCTGAGTCTGGACTCCGCAAAAGTGAACGGCGTGGACGATGCGGCCAACTTCAGAACCGTTAGGGTAAGAATCGGCATGGTTCTGAGTTCAGAACCGTCTCAGCTACAGCGTGAAGCATTATACTGGCAGCTTGTCCCGTTACAGTATTTTTATACAGCTGAGGTTTCTAGCTGGTGGATCAAGAGCCTCATTTTTCAGGCCGCATGATATTCAGCCTCCTAAAAACATAAGCTTTGGAAGTCACATTTATACACTAGGTCAGATGCGGGAGATTTGGGGTTGCCAGCCTTCTAGTGAGGCCTGGCATTACAGTTGATCTTCAGACTGTATAGATTAATGCCCCATGTCAGAGTCTAGGTGCAAGCCGAGTCAGAGTTCAAAGTCAGAGTCACGATTAAGTCCAGAAGGTTAGTTACCAGAGAACAAAATCCAGTTCAGAGCATGTTCCAGAAAGCAAGGTCTAGCAGTCCAAGGTCATATACAGGAGCAAGCAGGTCCGATATCCAAGTCCAAAGCTGGTCCCAAGGTCACTGGAGTGGAGCAGGATCAGGGGCTGTGGTCTCAGAGTCCACCAGGGGGTGACTTGTTACTTTCATACCAGGGGGTGACTTGTTGCTTCCACACCTAGCAGTCTCCCTGGACCGGCTTTTATAGGCATCTGTTGCAAGGTCTTACTTGCAGCCAACTGCTTGGGAGTAACCCTGCAGTTACTCATCATCAGCAAGCAGCTGCCGTCAGGCCACAAGACACGAGCTTTGTCTTCTCTCCTGGGGCACCATTCTAAGCCTTAGTCTCCGGCACTCAAAGGGTGTGGGTGAACTGGAGGGCTGGTAACAACCACCTGGGTTTCCTCTGTTGGAATGGGGTTTGGTAGGTGCTGGTGGCTCTTTATCAGCCGTGGCCGTTCATCTTCTTCTCTGACGGATTCTGCTGCTTCGGAGTTGGAATGGGGTTTGGTAGGTGCTGGTGGCTATCAGCCGTGGCCGTTCATCTCCTTCTCTGACAGCTTCTGCTGTTTCAGAGTTAGCTACATGGGACGCCTCTTCTCCTGAGGAGTTGTCTCCTCCTGAGGAGTCCTTCTCTCCTGACTGACCCCTGACAACACCCCTGGAGGAAATGGCTGCTTCACTCTGTGAACTAGGGTTGCCAGCTTTCAGGTGGGGCCTGGAGTCCTCCTGAAATTACGGCTGATCTTTGGACCCCTGGAGGAAATGAGAACTTCAGAGGGTGGACTGGATAGAATTCCATTCCTGACGAGCGCCTTCCCCTCCCCAAACTCTGCCTTCTCCAGACACTGTCCCCGGAGCTCCAGGAATTTGCCAAGCCAGAGTTGGCAACCCGATCTGTTACTTCGTCTCCTGACATTCTGACTTTTCACACTCAAAAGCAGCTGCCGGGGACTGCGCATTTTATCAGATCTTGCTGCAGGGAGCCCAAAGATTTTTCCTGTTTAGCTGCTTATTTCCCTTAGCAGGCAGCTCTGGCAGAAGTCAGGGGGTGGGCCCGTTCAGGGAAATGGCTACAGCAGAGTTAATCCTCCTCTCTGAGTGTGAATGCCAGGAGATCTAGTCATCCGGCATCTCATCCAGCTTTTATCAGATCCCCGCTCTTGAGTTATCTGCGTCTCCAAAATAATACAGTGCCATAAGCAAGCCAGTTACTAACACGAATGAACAAACGAATGTTTACTTTTATGATGTCAATAGAGAAATGTCTCGCTTTGCCGCTACGATTTGCTGACTTAATGTAAAACCGATTGTTATCGGCTAATCCTGCTGTACTGTGGCTGGCGAGAGACAGTTGTGGCAGAGTGGAGAGAGTGTAAGGCTTGGACAGAGGAGGACTGGGCTTCATCCCAGCTCAGCCAGGAAGCTGCTTGGTTGACTTTTGGCCAGCCACTTTTTCTCTCTCCCATCTCACAGGGTGTCCGGAGGATCAGATGTGCGAGCGAGCTCTGCCGTGCGCACTGAGTGGAGCTCCTTGCAGGAAGGATGAATTTTTTTAAAAAACAACAACAACCTGATGCATTTTGATTTCCTGTTTTCCAGAATGCCATGCAGATTGTGGGATTCCTGGACCACGAAACACAGTCCGTTTTTGAAGTTATTGCCGCTGTGTTAAAACTGGGGAATATCGAGTTCAAGCCTGAATCTCGCGTGAACGGCTTAGACGAAAGTAAAATCAAAGATAAAAATGGTAATTCGAGTTTATAGCCTTGCATCTACACTTTGGTTCAGATTCATTTTGGTTCTGAAAATGAATCGTTGAATAAGAAATTGAATAAAAAAGTGTTCATAGGTTTGGAGCTAGTCTTTTGTCCAGGTAGAATCAAAAGCATTGTGAGTTGAAAGAAAATTGCCCGTGCGTGTTGGGCTACAAATGTGATAGTTCACACAGTGCTGTAAAAGAAGGGAGGGTTCTGCCACCATTTCTATATTTCTGCCTGTTAAGAGGTTGGACAAGCTGAAAAACATATGTAGATATTTAACGTTCTCCTGTGCAGAGTTACTAAAATCTAAGTCGGTTCAACTCTGTAATAACTCTGGATACAACTGCACTGTTAGGTCGTGAGGTGTCTTTCATAAACAGGAAGCAAATGTGAAATATCTTGAATTATCTTGAGTCATCTGAACAGAATCATCTGAATATTTTGAATAATCTGGATTTATCTATGAGTTTTTCTGCAGTCTCATTTTCCTCTCTTGTATGTTCCTGTTGCTTCAGAGCTTTTCCCCCCTGTTCTGCACATGTTTTGCTCCTTCTAGTGGTTGATTCAGTATTGTACCACTCTGTGTCTAGCATAAAAACCTGCAGTTTAAATTTGCAGGGAGCTCCTGTCTCTAGCCCCAGCTCCTGCCAACCTAGCAGTTCGAAAGCGAGAAATTGCAAGTAGATAAATAGGTGCCGCTTCGATGGGAAGGCAATAGCGTTCCGTGCACCTCAGTGTTTAGTCATGCCAGCCACATGAACCACGGAGAAGCCTTTGGACAGTGCTGGCTCTTTGGATTGGAAGCGGAGATGAGCACCGCCCCCTAGAGTCAGATTCGACTACCTTTTGAGCAAGGGAAACCTTTACCTTTATGCTGGACATCAACCAATGTAATATTAAGCTGACCAGCAGAGGGAGCAAAACGTGTGAAACAGGAAGTAAGCCCTGAAGCAACAGGAACTCACAAGGGAGGAATGGCATGGAGACCCCCAACAACGCCACACAATCAGTTCTCCAACAGGCACAGTGTTGGTGGTTCCATGGAGCATTGTTCTTCACAGCTTCCTCAACTACGATTGTAACATGTTCTCTGGCTCTGGCACTCTCACCTCGAAGAGACTTCCCGATGAGTTTCTAAGCCCACCAATGTGTGAACCCACGAGTGCATAACCGATTTTAGTGTTGCCAGTGCATGTAATCAGTATGTGTTTTTTTTTAAAAAAAGACCAAAATGAGTTTTATGTGGGCATCCTTTGCTTCCTTAGAACTCAAAGAAATATGCGAGCTGACGGGCATCGATCAGTCAGTGCTTGAAAGGGCCTTCAGCTACCGGACCGTCGAAGCAAAGCAGGAGAAGGTCTCCACAACGCTCAATGTGGCTCAGGTATCCGCTGACGTTGACGTATGTAAGACGCGTAGGAAGAATTTGCTCTTTGTCGTAGCAGCTTGCGTGTGTGGTCTGAGGTAAAGCCTTTAATTGGTACCCTTTGAGGAGAGAGAGAAAAATTCCCTCGATGGTTGTGGATGATGGCTTAGGCTGAGTCGGCTGAAATTGAATCCGACGAAGATGGAGGTCCTTTGCCTAAATCGGAGCGGGACCGCCTTTCCCCATATGTTCCCCCAAGGGCACTGCGATCAGGAACGCAAAACCGTCTGACCCCCCCTTGGGCCTAGGGACGCCAGGTTAGCGGTAACTAGGACCAGGGCGTTCTCCCTGGCGGCGCCAACGCTGTGGAACGAGCTCCCTCATGAGATCAGAGCTCTACGGAACCTCCAGCAGTTCTGTAGAGCCGTTAAAACGGAGCTGTTTCGCCAGGCGTTCCAATAAGAACCGATTACTCCGGTGGTGTCGCACTAGCACTGTATCACAGGATGTATTAGCTGGGATTTTATGGAATTGTATTTTATATTTTGTAATTGTTGGTTTTAACTGAATGTTGGTTTTAAATTGCTTGTAAGCCACCCTGAGCTGCTTTGGCGGGAGGGTGGGGTAGAAATTTGATAGATAGATAGATAGATAGATAGATAGATAGATAGATAGATAGATAGATAGATAGATAGATGGATGGATGGATGGATGGATGGATGGATGGATGGATGGATGGACGAATAGATGATAGATAGATGGATGGATGATAGATAGATGGGTGGATGGACGGACGGACGATAGATGATAGATAGATGATAGATGATAGATAGATAGATAGATAGATAGATAGATAGATAGATAGATAGATAGATAGATAGATAGATAGATAAAATGCAAATCGTTATCTGTCTCGGCTGGTTCCTTGGCGAGTTTTCCAGAACTGAGCCCAAGGCGGGACACCTGAATCTTGAATAGCAGTCACATAACGACAGTATGCAAAATGCCTTCCAGAAATGTCCAGAATTTTTATTCTGGTTGCCAGATTTCACCAGTTCTGCAACTTGCTGCAGCCAAGAAACTTGGGAGCCACCATAATTGTCAGCATGCATGAATAACATGAGTGCTTGGGTGGGGCAGATATTTATTTATTTATTTATTAAATTTATCCCCCCCCCCTCCCAGCCACGGTTGTTTCAGGGCGGCTTACAGAAGAATAAAAACAGCAATAAATAATATCAATACTCCTAAAAACCATATAAACAATGTCAACATTAAAAGGTGCTAACGGATGACGATCCAGATGCCATTAAACAAATAGCGATTTAACATTAAATTTGGGGTGGCGCTCTGACTCCAGTGCCTTCCTAGTGGCTGACCCTGATCTAACATTGTGCGGCTGGCTCAGGCTGCTTTGAAGACTGCAGGGAACAGGGTTCTTCCCATGGGGCGGCTCCTAATGGAACGCCTGGCGGAACAGCTCCGTCTTGCAGGCCCCGCAGAACTGCATAAGGTCCCAAGGGGCCCTGATCTCTTCCGGGAGCTCGTTCCACCAGATAGGAGCTGCCACCGAGAAAGCCCTGGCCCTGGTTGTAGCTAGCCTGTCATCCTTTGGTCCAGGAAGGGTCAGTCGATGTTGAGACCCCGATCACAGTGCTCTCTGGGGAACATGTGGGGAAAGGTGGCCCCTCAGGTATGTAGGTCCCTGACTATAAAGGGCTTTAAAGGTATAGGTATAGGCATGGGTCTTCCATTCGCCCATTCCTGCCTGGTGGGGAGCTAGCTTGCATATGAGAGCGGCACACAGCTCTGCTCATGCGCCGATGTTTATACCCATATGTACATGCGCCTACATCCATGGGATTATCCTCTGCTGAAATAGTTCCCAGACTGCTTGCTGCTTGAGTGAAGGATACCATGTAATCTTCCAGGGTACAAAGAACTGCACATTTTTTGCATTTAATACTCATTCAGCACCATGTTCCATGGTTGAGCTATAAGGTCTGGCCCTGATGGTGAGCCTGCTGATGGCCCCTGGGTTTTGGTCACTGTGTGACACAGAGTGTTGGACCGGATGGGCCACTGGCCTGATCCAACATGGCTTCTCTTCTGTTCTTATGTCTGGGGCAGTGATGCTCTGTACTCTTGGTGCTTGGGGGGGGGGGCAACAGTGGGAGGGCTTCTGGAGTTCTGGCCTCACTAGTGGACCTCTTGATGGCCCCTGGGTTTTGGCCATTGTCCAATACAGAGTGTTGGAATGGATCCAACATGGCTTCTCTTCTGTTCTTATGTCTGGGGCAGTGATGCTCTGTACTCTTGGTGCTTGGGGGGGGGGGCAACAGTGGGAGGGCTTCTGGAGTTCTGGCCTCACTAGTGGACCTCTTGATGGCCCCTGGGTTTTGGCCATTGTCCAATACAGAGTGTTGGAATGGATCCAACATGGCTTCTCTTCTGTTCTTATGTCTGGGGCAGTGATGCTCTGTACTCTTGGTGCTTGGGGGGGGGGGCAACAGTGGGAGGGCTTCTGGAGTTCTGGCCTCACTAGTGGACCTCTTGATGGCCCCTGGGTTTTGGCCATTGTCCAATACAGAGTGTTGGAATGGATCCAACATGGCTTCTCTTATGTTCGTAAGTATTATTTTTTGCTAGCTTCACACCAAGGGACAAAGGCATTATATCAGTTTTTAAGTGCATCCACCAGAAATTCCCTCACATTTGATTCCTTCCCCAAAGCAACCTAGAACAAGTCATGGACTGCCTCCAACTTGTCATACCTCAGGCAGAAGGTGACTCTTGACAACCTCAAATATCTCTCATGCTCGCTTTTTCTTTTCTTTTTTAATTAGGCTTATTATGCTCGGGATGCTCTGGCGAAGAATCTTTACAGTAGGCTCTTTTCTTGGCTCGTTACTAGGATCAATGAAAGCATTAAGGTAATCGTATCTGAAATCAATGTCATTAGAATTAATGACCTGGAGAGTAAGCGCGCGTGCCCATCCGTTTGTGGCACAGTACTGAAACAGTGCCAGGGCGTTAAGAATAGCTGTACTCTCATAATATAATATATTTTGCCGCTGCGAAAAGATTTTTCTTTCGTAATGATGATTGGACAGTCTTGCTGTAATCTCAGTTAAGCTCACAAAAGTAATACTGAGTTTCTTCTAGGCACAGACGAAAGTAAGGAAGAAAGTCATGGGAGTTTTGGACATCTACGGCTTTGAAATTTTCGAGGTACTATTCTTTATTATCAGGGGTCATTTCGTAGAAAAAGAGGTGCAGGGGGTCATTAGCATAATTTATGCCACACCCCCTGGCATCACCGGAAGTGTGTCAGAAGGCAACACCCACTGCTCAGGCTCCCCTGGACTGTTTTGGATTGCTAGCTATTGGGGGGGGGGGACAGACATGCAGATCTGCCCTCACAGAGGAGGGAGAGCTTTACCTGAAGGCGGGCCGGGGGCTCAGCAACTTACCTGGCTGCTTCTTGCTCCTCGTGGCCCAACTGAGGGCTGCTGGGAGCAGAGGGCGGGACTTGTTGCATGTGCCCGCCCCCTGGGCTCCTTACTGCCGGAGCTCCGCTCCTGTGCGCTCCCACAGGAAATGACCCTTGTTTATTCTACATCTGTAGCAATATATGATGTCTGTAATACTAGGGGAAGATGTCATATGACTGTATTGTCGCTATATTTTCCAGCAGTGACAAAAAGGGGAAATGGGGGGGGGGAATGGTCACTGTCCCCACATTTATTTTGGGAGGGGTTCCATGCATATGTCTAAGATGTTGGGGCGGGGGAGGTTTTGTGGGAGGAAATGTGGCTCAGTGGTAGAGCATCAGTACAAGAAGAAGAAGAAGAGGAGATTGGATTTATACCCCGCCCTTCACTACTGAAAGGAGTCTCAGAGCGGCTTACAAACTCCTTTCCCTTCCCCTCCCCACAACAGACACCCTGTGAGGTAGGCGGGGCTGAGAGAGCTCTGACAGAAACTGCTCTTTTTCAAGAACAGCTCTTATCAAAGCTACGGCTTGCCCAAGGTCATCCAGCAGGGGCAAGTGGAAGAGTGGGGAATCAAACCCGGTTCTCCCAGATTAGAGTCCGTGCACTTAACCACTACACCAAATTGGTAGTGCATCTGCTTGGCATGCAGAAGGTCCCGGGTTCAGTTTCTGACATGGGATCAGGTGATAAAAAAGCCCTCGGCCTGAGACCCTGAAGAGCCCGTTACCAGTCTGAGGAGAGGATTCTTACTTGGACGGACCAAGGATCTGATTCAGTATGAGGCAGCTTCGCGTGTAAAATACATATTCGACAAACCTATGAACCCCACCTTAACACAGTGATCATGAGGAATTCTTTCAGCCTTCCATGAAGGATCATGGGTATTCCCTGCAACACTTCCCTTGTTAGTTTATGTAGAAGAAGTTTGCAGGCGCATGAAAGCTTATACCTTACTTTTGTTGGTCTTAAAGGTGCCACTGGACTCAAACTTTGTTCTCCTGCTTCAGACCAACAGGGCTACCCCACCTGGTTCTATATTGTTGGTTTATGTAGAGTCTAAATTTTATGTTTACTATTTAATTTTCTTTAAAGTCTTCTGTATTTGTTTAAGGCAGCTTACAATCTTGATTGCATTGTAACGCTGTTAAGAAAGAAATAACATACCTCCAATACCAGAGCTAGTGTTTAGTCATGCCGGCCACATGACCACGGAAATGTCTTCGGACAGCGCTGGCTCTTCGGCTTTGAAACGGAGATGAGCACCGCAACCCTAGAGTCGGACTCGACTGGCTTTCGAGCAAGGGAACCTTTACCTTTATTCTCTCTATGTAACTGCTGACCTTAATAATTACTGCCAAAAAACCCCCACAAACGGGCTTGCGTCTGAGACTCTGGAATGCTCAGCACTCCTTACGGAGACAGGTGGGATTTAGGCAGATGCCAGTAAGTTAAGAGAAATCAGTGGGAAAGTTTGCTTAGAAGCAGACATGCCAGCCGTCCTTTTCAAGAACGCATTGAGCAGATTTACGGGTGTGCGGCGTTCAGTGGTGTTTGCTTAAAAGTAGATCCCTGCGGATTAAACTTTGGGCAAACAAAGTTACACGACTCTCGTGGTCCAAAGACACTGGGCACACACCCTGAACTAAACGTTGGCATACACATATTTGCTTATACGTCCTTAGAGCCATTTGCATGCTATCCACAGGCAACGTCTCCTGGCTCTGCACTAAGCTGGAAGCGGCAGCCTCTCTTGTCTGTCAGATCTTTATCCTGCTTTTCCATCATAGCGCCTAGATGAGTATAAGCATACTTGTGGAATGCATGTGTGTCATAGGGTTGACAGGTCCTGGTTTGTGGCCGGTGAGGGGCTTAGGGGAACATTCCGGGAGGGGGTGGGGACTCCCTGACATGATATCATGCATAAGTGACGTCATCACGTTGGGGACACAGCCTCTTGGAAGCCACCAGTGGTGCCCGCTTGCAAAAAAAACATTTAAAGGGAACCTTCCCTTTATGTGGTTTTTTGCGATCGAGGGCTGTCTGTCCGTGCCTGAACTCTTTAAGTGGCGAATTCACCGCTTGGAGTTCAGGCGTGCAGCCAGTGGCCGCTCCTCTCCCTCCCCTCCTGCGAGATTTAAAGGGCCTTCCAGCTGATTGGTGGCCCACATGCTCCCACTGATCAGCTGGAAGGCCCTTTAAATCTCGTAGGAGGGGCGGGAGAGGGGTGGCTGCAGGTGGTCACTCTTGGGGGCGGGGCTTCCCTGCTGGCCAGCTGGCTGGTGGTGGGCAGGAGCCGAGAAATCGGGGGATCCCCCACCCCCACCTGGGGATTGGCAAGCCGAGTGTATCACTCTGCATAATTTCTCAGGTATACCTCCAATAATGCAAAGTTTGCAGTGACCTTTGTATAGACTAGTCAGCCCATACGGATGATTTTAAAATACCCAGAAAATGCTTGCAAGCTATCTTTGTGCTCTTCCTGCAATGTTTGTTGTCCAAAACTCATTTTGACGGAGTGAGCTCCCGTCTCTGGCCCCAGCTCCTGCCGACCTAGCAGTTCGAAAGCAAGAAATTGCAAGTAGATAAATAGGTACCACTTCAGTGGGAAGGTAACAGAGTTCCGTGCGCCTCGGCGTTTAGTCATGCCGGCCACATGACCACGGAAATGTCTTCGGACAGTGCTGGCTCTTCAGCTTGGAAACAGAGATGAGCACCACCCCCTAGACTCAGGTTCAACTGGCTTTCGAGCAAGGGAAACCTTTAGCTTTTACCTTTAAGGACTGAAATTATGTAGAATAGGCACAGGCAATACAGTTTTGAGATGCAGTTGAATGCCGCAGACGTCAACCATATTTGCTCCTTAATAGCTTTTTAAAAGATTTGCTGAACCAAGGTGTTTAAATATTTATTCTTAAAACTCCTATTCTGCCCTTCTCCGTAAAGTACTGTTTAAGCAAGAGAGGACCCTGTTAGAATTTAGAATTGGTCTGTTAGCCCCTTTAGCTGCATGCCGATGTTTTATGGTGTAGCGGTTAAGTGCCAGTTTGGTGTCGTGGTTCAGTGCACGGACTCTAATCTGGGAGAACCGGGTGTGATTCCCCACTCCTCCACTCGCACCTGCTGGATGACTTTGGGCAAGCCATAGTTCTGACAAGACCTGTCTTTGGAAGGGCAGTTCTGGAAAGAGCTCTCTCAGCCCCACCTACCTCACAGGGTGTCTGTTGTGGGGAGGGGAAGGGAGTCTGTAAGCTGCTCTGAGACTCTGAGTGAAGGGTGGGATATAAATCTCCTCCTCTTCTTCCTCTTCTTCTTCCTCCTCCTCTTCCTCCTCCTCCTCCTCTTCTTCTTCCTCTTCTTTCTCTTCCTCTTCCTCTTCTTTTTCTTCTTCTTCTTCCTCTTCTTCTTCCTCCTCTTCTTCCTCCTCCTCCTCTTCTTCTTTCTCTTTCTCTTCCTTTTCTTTTTCTTCTTCCTCTTCTTCCTCTCCTTCTTCTTCTTCTTCTGTCCTAAGAGAAGAGCAGAATTCATTACTGAGGAGGCCAAGGCCCAGGGGCAGTCGTAGATGCCATAGTAGCTGTGACGCTTTCCTGCCTTATTTCCAGGGGATGCTTACGATGTTTCCCCCAGGAGCTCATTACCCCATGTTGTTTGGGTGGCAGCACGAGCCATTTGTTTCTTCTTCCTCCTCTTCTTCCTCCTCCTCCTCTTCTTCTTTCTCTTTCTCTTCCTTTTCTTTTTCTTCTTCCTCTTCTTCCTCTCCTTCTTCTTCTTCTTCTGTCCTAAGAGAAGAGCAGAATTCATTACTGACGAGGCCAAGGCCCAGGGGCAGCCATAGATGCCATAGTAGCTGTGACGCCTTCCTGCCTTATTTCCAGGGGATGCTTATGATGTTTCCCCCAGGAGCTCATTACCCCATGTTGTTTGGGTGGCAGCACGAGCCATTTGTTTGTTCTCTCTGAGATTTAAAAAAAAAAAGTCTTAAGGAACAACTGTAAATAGATGACGTGCATGTCTAGGGGGAAGAGGCTGGCATAGGTGAGACAAGGGGGGGTTTAAAACGGTGGCCAGGCAAAAAATAAATAAATAAATAGGGGAGGAAAGAATTGTGAAAGGCCTTTCGAAAGCCCAACATGCCTTGCGGAGAGCCGTGTATCAGGAGAGCCGTATCTGATGACCTTTGGAACGGCGGTTTGCCTAAACCTGCCGCTGCCCGTTCTGTTCGGAGGCAAGCTGTTAACACTCCGCGTGCTGTTCTGAGCGTGTAAGAAGAGCCCTGCTGGATCAGACTGGCGATCCATCTAGTCCAGCACCCTGTTTCACACAGCGGCCAGCCAGTTGCCTCGGAGGGCCAGCTGCACAGTGCACAGAGGCCGAGGCTTCCCCCTGCTGCCGGGCACCGTTATTCAGAAGTTGGCTGCTTCTGTATTTGGAGGTTCACTGCAGCCACCGTGGCTAGGAGCCATCGAGGGACGCCTCTTCCGTGGATCTGGGATCTGTGTGAGCTGGCTTTAGAAGCTCAGCAGTGCTATCAGGTTTGAAATGCCTGGCCCGGTGTTGGCTCAGGGTGTTCTGGGTCACCCCCCACCCCCACCACCCCCACACACTTCTGCTGTCCTCCTTCAACAAGAGGGAATCAAAAGAAGAAGGGGAACCAGCGTACATGAAATGGTACAAGGCACAAAAAACCGCTGGCTAAAATAACTAAGGGTGAACGTAAGATGTATAAAAATAATATTT